ATGTATGAAACTCCTTATTATACCATTGATATACCAGCTACCTTATATTACTTAGTAAATTAGGTGTCTTTTGTTTTTTGGATAGTTGAGTTGGGTGATAAGGGGAGAGGGATTGCAAGTATGAGGATTTGGGAAAAAAAAAAGTGTCATTTACATATCTTAACCAATGTTGCGGGGACACTCGTTAGAAATTTTTTTTTTATAAATAAAAGAATTAAAAAAATAAAAATTATTTTGACACTGCATGATGTATTCTCGCTTTTTCTTTACTTAAGAATATAAATGTTTGCAATCATTACTACATGAGAGTTTAATTAAAAAAAACAAGAGTAGAGACTAAAATATAATTTTGAAAAGGATGGAAGAAGTCTAGGAACTAGAAGCAAATAAAATGCAATTAATGTTATTGGCAACTTGGCATGCGAGGAAGTTATGAAGGAAAGAATAGGTGGTCCCACAAAATTAATTTGACATATGAGAAAGTTATGAAGAAAAGAATAGATGGTCCCACAACATTTTATCTCACATTTTTATAAATGTGTTTTCTATTTTTTAAGTTAAATGGATGTATATGGATAAGATGGATAATCCATTTAAATCCACTAACATAATTGGATTTAAATGGTTATCCATTTAAAACCATTGAATTTATATGGATCATCCAAATCCATTTAAGGTTGGTTTATATGGATGGATCAGTGGATATGAATCCATTTTGCCACTTCTAATCGATAGTGTATCACCCTCTAGGGTATAGTTTGGAATCTGCAAGATCTTAACCAAGTCAAATGCTTCGCGAGCTGCAATTGCTTCTGCTACCTCTGCTGTAACTAAACCATCATAACTTTTAGATAAGCAAACGACAAATTGACCTGATGATATCATGAAATATTTAGTGAAAGTTGATATCATATCATGAAATATATAATAATTGGAAGATTAATTTCTCAAAGCAATTTCCTTCTTTGTTATGAAAATTGCACTTTGTTGCGATGTGTGACTTTGAAGAGGGCATCAGTGTACCATCACTGATTTGCATCATACTATTCCCAGAATATCTTTAAACTAAAGGAAGAAAAAGTAAGTAGATATTTTCCACAAATTGTTTCCAATCAACGAAATTTTCAGCAAAAACAAAAAACAGGGATAATTGCTGCCTTTGATTTGTACCCACGACTCTGAATTGTTTAAATTTGGTCCCTCCGTAAATTTTACTTTTGCATAATTAACTCTTATAAACAGTTTCGAATTAATCAAAAATCTGATTTTTTTTCAAGCAAAGGTAATTTCTCTTGAGTTTATAAACGTATGAGAAATAGGTCTGGTGGCCACATTTTCACTGGAGAACAATTGTCACCTAGTAAACATCTCAAAAGCAAAGACAAAATCGCTAGATTCGAATTGCCGGAAGAAAATAAATCATGAACAACAATATACCATAATTATTGGTGCAGAAAACGATAGACCATTATATTCTATTCCCTAGTTGAATTTCAGCTGCCATTGTTCCCTATGGGTTTCATATTTAGTCCAAAAAAAGAATTCTAAGATTCTTGTTTTGGTCCTTTTGGATTGGTTGAAATTCAAACAATATGATCTAAATGAATCAAAATGAAGTTGCGTGGGCTAGAATAGAGGTCTTAGAGTTTTTCCCACTATCTGTTTGAAATTCGAATCTTGTACCCAGAAATTGGAGGTGGGAATTGTGTATAGAAGGGTGCGAGGACTAGAAAAAATATTGCTCAAAAGATCCTTGTATATATGACTTTTAGAAGTTAAAAAAGCTAATTGATGATTTTTTTAATATCCTATTCTATTACAAGGACGGGTCTTCGGGAAGGGAAAATCCAATTCTATTACAAGTAGGAGTGTTTGAAAAGAATTGAAAAAGCTGCTAAATGAAAAATTGAATTGGTTCAAACCGAAAAATAGGATAACCAACCCGTAATTTTCAAAATGGTTAGGTTACTCGAACCTATTTGAAAAATTATATTAGGGTATGGTATTCAACTTTTAAAAATCACGGTTACCTGAAACTTCCCACATATATGCAAGGTTGGTTAAGATAACTAGTATCCAAACCTCAACCCATAATTATTTAGTCATTTACTAATAATTTAAATTACAAGCCCCATTCCATTATACATTTTATTTTTCATAACTTATAAACTTGTATATTTAACCCTATCTTACATTCACTTTGTCAATTTCCTATCTTCGTTGCCACTAATTTCATGTATTCTACTACTCTATCTTTTCTCTTTCTTCAAAATTCCTTATCATTTCTCATAAATTCTATCCACTTCACCACTCTATATATTTTGTTTTTAATTTTTAGAGATTACATTTTTTGTTGTAAAGCAACCTATTATCCTCAATAAAAAATGAATTAATAGATTTCAAGAAGTAGGAAAAATGAAAATAAATATTTGAAATATTTTATGTTTTAATTATCTATTATGTTTTGATTTTTTATTTTGTTGGTGGATTTTTTATTTTGTTGGTGGTTTTTTTAGAATTGTAGGATTAAACACTTTTATTAATTTGGACAATTATTGTATTGTTTTTTTTATTAATCTAATTTTTCTTCTACAAGTACGAGAGAGTTAGATTACCTTGTATACCCGACGTTATTCTACGGATGTTGGGGAATGGAATATTTTGTGGTTAAGTTAGCGATAAGGTTAGGGCATGGAATATTTTGTGGTTAAGTTCAGCGAAATTGCAAATGAACTGGTTATCCGATCCATGAACACCCCTAATTATAAGGGGGAAGCCTCCTCCTACACCTCTTGTAACAACTTGGGTCTAAAAGCTAGACCAAGCAAATTTTGGACCGAAATCCATTGGTTCAAAATGGTTAACCAAAATTACCATGTAACTCAAGCACCTAAGTCCTTAAACCATTCTTTTCCTCTTTCTCTTACCGATGTGGGATATCTCACCTCTGCTGCATCTGTTTGTTGACCTACAGGTTAATCGGTTAACAGATAACCGATTGAATAGGGCTGAGGTATGGAATATATTGCTAAATTGCTACTTGCGCTTAGGGTCGAAATTGCAAATAAATTGGTTACCGGTCCATAAACACCTCTAATAACAAGGGGGATTCCTCCTCCTGCTCCTATGCTATACCTAACTACTGAATTGCCAAGTAGTGATAAAATTTGCAATATTGACAAATGTAGAAATCTTCGCATCCCACATCGAAAGATCGTGGGGTAGTTACTCTGGGTTTAAGATCCACAAGCGCCCGTTCTGTCACCAATTGGTTGAATGTGGTTGTTTTGTGAGTCCTCCTTAAATTGTCCTTTGGGCCGTTCTTTGGTGAACTTCCTGAGTGTTAATCTAACTGTGTGCATGGGTTCTTGCCTTTGTTCGAGAAAAAAAAAAAACCACTTGTGTGGCGAGGTTGTGCTCGGGAGGGGGATAGGAGCTTCCCGTCCCACATCGAAAGATCGTGGGATAGTTACTCTGAATTTAAGATCCACAGGCGCCCGTTCTGTCACCAGTTGGCTGAATGCGGTTGCTTTATGGTCCCCCTTAGATTTTTCTTTGGGCCGTTTTTTGGTGAACTTCTTGAGCGTTAATCTAACTGTGTGTGTGGTTCTTGCCTTTGTTCGAGAAAAAAAAAAGACAGATGTAGAAATCAAAACCCACAGAGTTAAATGATGATGAATCTCAGATCCTTGCACGCTTGTGGATGTTGCATAAAAGGACCCTGAACAGCATCTTCCGTGCAGTAGACAAACTTGACTTAATTCCCTTTAAAATCTGATCATGGGCTGTTGACATCTGACTGAAGGCATTTGAATGCAATTGCATCTTCCAAGTCATTAAGGTTTTCTTTTCAACAACCTTTAACCGTCAAATGAAACCCCGGTCAATGGGTTGGAAAAGACTGGAGCCAATTTTGTTGAACTATCAAATGCTGTCTACTACTCTACTATCGCCCCACTGACAAACGCGTTGTTGAGGCTGTGGGCTAGAAAAGTTCTTCATCAGATCTTTATTGACATATAAAACCACCTGCTACATCATGCATTAGGGGGAAAACCTTAGGCCTAACCATTTTAAAAAAAAAAAATTATTATATTTTTCGTGAATACATTTCTCAATCACTTTTTACTTCACATATATTTAATCGTTACAGTAATTTTTTTACAAAAAATCTAGAAAAATGCAATCCAAACTAGCGTTTAGCTTTTCCTTATTTCGTTATCTCTCTCTCTCTCTACACACACATAGATATATTATATGTCTGCTAGTTTCCTAATGATTTAAAGAAGTTAATTGTCTTATTCTAATGAAGAAATTTTTTTGTCTTATTTAATTATGTGAGGCCGATATTGAATTGTACCGGGCTCGGACAAGTTATAAAATGAACAAAATTAGTTGATGAATTTGGTTCAATAAGAGCTCAACGATCTGTATACCAACTACATAAACCAAACACAAACAGGACTTAATTTTTGTTAAAGTTTCAAATTCAACTCGAGTTTGGCTTTATTAACACAATATTCAAATGTATAAGTGAAAAATAATTAAGATACTCAAGTTCGACTCAATATTGAATTAGGCTCAAGAGATAAACAAATCAAAATTTGAACACATGATCAAATTCACTAAAATTACAAAATAAAGTGTGAACAATATAGAATTCGATTTGATTAGGCTCATTTTACACCTCTAATCATGTACACACAGTTTCTTCTTGTCATGTTTTTAGTTACCTTTACTGGAGTATATAGAAACAGAACAGCATATAACTAACATACTTATCGGACAAATTATATATATATATATATATATATATAAAAGAACCAAAAATTACCATTTCACTAAAAAAAAAAAAAAACATCGATTCTTTGTAGGTCAGTTTCTTCTACCCAACGTATTATGACGGCATTATCATTGCTTTCTCTGTCGGTCTCGACATTAACAGCAAAGAAGAAGAAGAAGAAGAAGAAAGAAGAAAGCAACCAAAGAACACATTGGTTCATTAAATCTTAATGCAATGAGATTCATCTCAAAATCACAATCATTTATGTACGCATGCATAGAATGAAATGATAAGATTTCTTTAGCGGTAGGAAGAAACAATTACTAACTAATTTTCTGATCATCAAGAACTGGAAACCATCATAGTCCTGAACTCCTCAAAATCAAGCAATCCATCCGAGTTTGTATCAAAAATGTTAATCATGCTCTTACAATCCCGGCCTTCACGCTCATCCCACAGTCCAAATCTTGACAAAACCTTCTGCAATTCCTCACAAGAGATGAATCCATCTCCATTTAAGTCAAACACCTTGAAAGCTTCAGCTAGATCTCCATCAAAGCTGTTTGTTTGATTGCTTCTGCCAATGTTGCTCTTGACAACAATATCATAGAAGATGAAAAAATCAATTGAATCAAGACTTGTTGTTGGTCCAACCAGTCTTTGCAGCTCCTCAAGGGTAGTGTGGAATCCAATTCTCTCTAATAGCCACTTGACTTGATCAATGCTCATTAGCCCATCGCCATTTTTATCCAGTTTTGTGAAAATCTTGTGGAGGTCATTGGCACTCAGGGATGACATGAAATCAGGAGTTATAGCAGGAGAAAAATGTTTGTGGATGTTTGGATTTACAACTTTCTGCTGCCAAGAGAAATGCTTCAAATATTCTTGTTGCTCAAGATGATGAATGCTCGAATGTCCAAACGGTATATATCTGTAGTCTAAGGTTGAACATTCAAGCCAAGTCCAAGCGTGCGTTCTAGGCCATTAAAGTAGCTACAATTGTGTGAAAGACAGATTCAAGCGTCGAGAAATTGAGGGTCAGGTGCCAGTGAAATTGAAAGGAAGGTCTGTAACGCTGAAAAGAAAGTGCAAAGAAATGAGAAGGAAATTTACCATCCTAGATAGAAGATAAAAAGACAAGATATTGTTGACAATTATTTTGGCCTTTTTGTCAACAAAAGGAGGAACACGTCCTTGGTTTCAAACAATCTTTTCCCACTCTTTATTTAGAAGCTGATCAGCTAACCAATGAGAGACTCATTTCCATTAATCAAACAAAAAATGGGGACTCGTTAACATATGAAGATATATTGACTAAAGATGTAAAATAGCTGGACTGAAGTCCTTTTACTCTCAAGCCCTCAAATGAGAAGTTGTATAGCATATCTTAGCAATTTAATTAATTGCATTGGGTTATATATATTATAGGTCCGATGCAAAACGTAGGAGCAAGAGATGGTTGTAGTTATGCTTTAAGTGGACTCACTGTATTGATCATGTCATTATTAGTAAAACAATAAGAACTTAATTAACAAGAATTTGTGTGGAAGTTTCCACGTATTTTAGAGCCATTTATCACCAGATTGGCAGCCAAACCATGACAACGAGATTAGTTAAATGTGTGATTCATTACCTCAGACTTGGACGACTTGTGATACACGTTGATGGATACAAGAAACAACTCACCAAGTACCCCTTGGCCTTGGTGATACATTAAGGCAAAGGTCGTTCGCCACGTTCCTCAGGCACTACTGCTCTAGGGTCGTAAACCAATTGAATCCTAATGCCACAAGCTAGGCTGCATTTGACTTTTTAATATCGAGCTAGAATTCATCAATTTAAGTTCATCTAACTCCATTTGATGTTGCCCATGAAGACCATAAAAAACAATAATGAGAGATTTGATGTTGTATTGGCAAGGCTCGACGTCAGCTTGAAAGCTTGGTTTAGTTCTTGACATATATAGATCTGACTTTGGTTTAATTCTTAACATATATAGATCTGACTTATAAATCCAAAATGACCTACATGTAACAAATGTTATGTCAACTACATGCTTCTTTTTATGTTAAATAAAATAAGAATAAATCTTATATACACTAACTAACAGTGTATACATTATATCACGGTTAAATGCACGACACATATACAAAATTTATACTTCAAATTCAAATTCAAATTATGTGTTATGTATCAATGGGTGAAGATATATACACTGTTAACGTATAAAAGATTAATTTATAAAATAATTATATGCTTTCAATCCTAGTGCACGATCTTTCAAGATGATATGTATAAGTTCAAGTTTGATTCAATAAGTCATTAACAATATCTATTGATTAAATTTGATTAATACTCATTGGCATTTGAAATCAAATGAAGCCCCTAAAAAATAGATTCCGAATTATTTGTTACGAGCTCGATTTATTCACAGCTCAAGCGTTCATGCCTAAGTCTCATGCTCAAAGTTGTATCACTTAAATTTGGTGTAAGATACTCATCGAACTCTATATAATGAGATGAACAATTTTGCACATTTTCGGTTTAAGAAGAACTGCATTGATAAGAGGCTCATATTCCTTTTAGGTAGTTCTACTATTTGCAGGATGTATGGTGAATTCCATCAAATATTTTCCAAGAAAGTGTAATCAAAAACTTGTTGGCATTTATATATGCATTAGGTCAGTACCCATGACATGCCTGGCTGTATCCAAGGACCATCCTGGATACGTCCCGCTTATAACTTATTGACGGGCTTACAACTTATCAGAGGTCGATTTTGCCATTTTTTTTTAATGAGCCTATTGGAGAGGAGGGTATATTCCCCCTGAATTTTCTTCTTCTTGTTTCTTTTTTTTTTTTTTGTGTTTTAAACAAAGGGTCTCTATCTCATTTTTTTCATCTACAATTTAGAATTTGATGTATTTGAATCTGACACGCAGTCAAGTTAACATCTTTTATGGATTCAACTACAATGGCTGAACCTCCACTTTCTTAGATGCCTAACTATAGTTTGGATTTTAGTAGCATAACATACACCATAACTACTTGGAAAGTTATAAGTTAGTACAAAACTCTCTCAATTATTATTTTTCTATTAGTTTAATTTCAGAAATTTATGTGGACTTTTAAAAAAAATAAGTGGTAGAGATGCCTAATTTAAGGATAAGGAGAAGATAATCCACTAGGCCTTTGGCCCGGTGGTCACTACCAAAGACTTAAGTCTTGATGGTGTGGGAGGCCAAGAGTTCAACTCTATATGTAGCGGCCTTAATTGGGTTTTTTCGATGGAGTCTATACTCATATTGAGTCCCCTTTTTCCATCCCCTAGATTAGGTTATATTAGACTATAGAAATCCTATCGTTGCGACAAAAAAAATTAAAAATAAGAAGATCGAATAAAAATAGGCTTGCAAGAATTGGTCATTAAAGATGGTTCATAACTTTCAAAATCGCATACTAGTGTCTATGTAACCTTTCCATTTCCCTTACAATTATTTTTTGGTAAAATAATGATGTGCATTGAATTAAATAGAGCTAGTTACAATCATCAGAAGAAATCAATCTCCTCTAATTAATATCCTCTAAACAAGTAGCTTTAAGAAAATGGGGAATCTGTTGAACAAGACAAAATTCCTATCAAATTCTAGTTCCCTGTCAAATTGAATTTCCTTGTAGTTTACAGTTTCCTAGTTAAACAGTAGCGTGAAAAGTCAACCTTGAGATTTACCAATGTATTCCATGGAAGCTACTTTTATCTTTGGGTTAATTACATTTATCTCCCCTGAGATTTGATCATATTACCAATCAATTCCTGTAATTTATCCAAATAACGGTCTCACCCTTTGAATGATCAAACGTTTAACAAAAACCCCCTTAATGCCGAAAATGCCCTTATTGAGGCCATGTTGCATTAAAAAAAGAACATATTTTTATTTTATTAATCTTGAAGCAATCCAAAAAAATAGAAAAAAGTTTTTACTTATTATTTTATAAAAACCATATCTTTGCTTCCATAAATAGTTTTGAATCAATAATTATTTTAAATCTTAAAAATGAATATTAAAAATTAGATAAATTGAAAGAAAAATAAAAAAACAAGAAATTATTTTAATTCCTGAAGTATGGTTCAAATTGAGGAAAATATACCTTGTGCTCTCCGCAACATGCCTTGAACCACAAATTCAAACCATACTTTAGGATTTAAAATAATTGCTTCTTTTTTATTTACTTTCAATTTATCTAATTTTTAATATTCATTTTTAAGATTTAAAATAATTATTAATTCAAAACTATTTATGGAAGCAAAGATATGATTTTTATAAAATAATAAGCAAAATTTTTTTCTATTTTTTTGGATTACTTGAAGGTTAATAAATAAAAATATGTTATTTTTTTAATGCAATATGACCTCAAAAAGGGTATTTTCGAAATTAAGGAGGTTTTTGTTAAACGTTTGATCATTCAAAGGGTGAGATCATTATTTGGATAAATTATAAGAATTGATTGATAATATAGTCAAACTTCAGAGGAAGTAAATATAATTAACCCTTTATCTTTCTATATCTTGTGTCAGGTACATTCAGCAGTGACATGATGACATGGTGGCTTCCATTAATGCACAAAGGGGATACCTTTATGGTGGGCACCCCTTTGACCGCGCCTACCATAGGTACACGGTTCCGTTCAACACGTTTCCGGAAGATTGTCAATGTGGACCATGCGAGGCAAAATGCACACAGTTCCTACCATCAATGTTTTAAAAATCAAACCGTTAATTGAACCGATGAAATGAATGGGTCGAGATTTAATCGATTGAATCGGTTCAATTTCGGTTCAATGATTTTTTTAAAAATAATTTATATAAATATATATATGCACAAAATAAGACATGTAATGGACTAATTTAATACTTTATATGATGAAAAGTTTACTATTTTTTAATAACTTAGATTTTTAAAAATAAAATTTTAAAATTACAAGTTAAAACAAATAAATCTCATCTCAATTTCAATTATATCTAAATCCAACACAAAAATATCACAATATTTTGAAATTATACAAAATTCACGTCTATGAGAATTTAGATATTGTGAACTTAAATTTTAATTTACGTTTTGGAATTTAGATATTGCAATTTAAAAAGGGAAGCTTGGAGTTCGAAGAAAATCAAGAGAATCGAAAATAGAAATGTAAACTTGATGAGAAACAAAAAATGAGATAAAAGTGAGTGGTTGTGGCATTAAATAATTTGGGTTAAAAAAATAATTCTTTTTTAACTTTTTTCAATTTAATGGACAAAAACAAAATTAAAAGATGGAAGAAAACATCAATAAATTAAAAATAAAGAGGTTTGATTAAAAAGGGAGTGACAAAAGAAAAGAAGATAGAGAGAGAGTTGAAGATTAAAAAGAAAAAGCTATGAAAGGATGAGATTTTGTAAAAAAAATGGAAAAAAGAAATATGAATATTTGTTTTATATAAATAAGTTATTAAAAAAAACTAATAGGATGTGATGGTGCAACAGTTAATACATTGGTCTTCTATTACAAAGGTTTTAAGTTCGAATCTTAATAGCTGCATTTTACAAAAAATTTTTTTTAAAAAAAAGGGAAAAGTTGAAAATTGAAAACCATCGGTTCAATCCGGTTCAACGATTTTCACGGTTCAACCGATTTTTGATCGATTTTCTGACAAAATCAACTATGACATAGAACCGGACCGGTGCCATAGCCGATTTGCGGTTCGATAAGTCGAACCGGCCGGTCCGGTCCGATTTTCAAAACATTGCCTACCATTGCCTTAACTTGTATCTCTCTATATACATAAATTGTTTCACAATTAAAATTAAACAATATTTAAATGAAGGTAAAAAATAGGGTTAACAATTCATCTGAGTAACTTGCGAATTTGGATCGACCTACTTAGTTCACCCTTAACTCTACTGCTTT